CCCCCAAAAAAATTCTGTTAATCGTGTAGACCTAGCATATTCTTGAAATAAAGTTTAGCTGCCTTCAAATAAATGACAAATAATCAAATACATTGTGCTAGGTCGTGTTTCTGACTCCCATTCAGGCGATTGTTTGACAGTCGGCGCTTATGTGAGCCTCGAGCTCAGTGACTCATACCGACAACAACGAGGCAATCTCTTTAGTGACTGTAACCAGGCAGCCTCTTGCAGCGAGTATGCAAAGACTGAACAAAGACACAGACAGACAGACACACTTTTGGTTCTCATGACAAAGCAAAATGTGGACAGAAATGGATTTTTAATTCTTTCCATATGTTTGGTTAAAGAGGACTCTTGTTCTTTTTCAACATGCTTCCTTGACTGTACGGCCCAGTCCTGTCAATGCATGATTTGCAAGTTATGCTCTGCGAGAGAGAGTTAGCTCGCTAATGATACTCTGTCCAAAGGTTAAATCTGTCATGTTATCATATGAAGTAATACAAAGTTACTTGCTGATCATTACTGTTACCGAAGATTCAAATTATCCGGCAAGCTGTGGTTTACAAAAGTGATGTCATGCTGGTGATAGATTTGGCTTACAGATAAGAATTTCACTATGAAAGGGAACTAGTAATGATTTTCAGTGCCGTTGTAAATATTGAACAAGTTTCACATTTATGATTTATTTTGGGCTCGGTTTTTACAATCGCAAAAACCTTGGGGCGTGTAGACTTTTTCAATCAACCGTACCTACGAGTACAATGCTCCCTTTTGATTGACAAAAGCAGAACTGTTGACGCGGCTTTTACATCATGTTGTTTTTGTGTATTGAGCCGTGGCCCTTAAGTTAAACAGTGACGAACGTATTATGCACCGACGCGTCTTCGGCAGTCACCAGTGGCATTTGAGTATTCCACATTAAAAAATGGCGAGAAGCCATCGTCGCTTCAAGGGGTCGTGTTGTGTCCCGCACACTTGGGCAGCCAAACCTCTCCGAGCAATGCGTGGAATCCCAAGAATGGCAGCCCGATGGAGGCGCGAGGTCACAAGCATGCGTAGAGTAACGGCACGTGTGGGCTTAGCGTCAACATGCCACCAAGCCCGCCCTCACTCGTCCGCCGAGTTGCGCATCACCCACACTCGAATTTCATCGTACGCAGCCTTTACACAATGGCGGCATTCATTAGCCGCTGTGACTTTAGCATACAAACATGGCCGTCGCGCGTCGGTGCCAGTGAATTATCCGTATTGTTCAGAAATGCGCTCGAAGTTATTACAGTACATGCTTTGAAAAGACAACCCGATGAGTTTTTATGCGGCAAAGGCCTTTTGTCCGACCTTGACATTCTCTCTGTTTTCACTTGTCAGGCTCAATGAAATTCTAACGCCGCTGTTTGACCCCCGGCGCGATCGGCACCGTTGAACACATAAAGTCTCATTAGTACAACCTCAGTGTGTAAGACATGGCCGGTTGCCATCCAAGGCATCATCGCGTCGCAGTTGGCAGGAGTGCGCGGACTGAAAGCGGCCCATCTTATTTCCGAAGTATTCTTTGCACGTAGCCCAAATGCAGGCTGTGTAACGGTCACCCTGTCCCACAACCCGATGAATGGAAAAGTCCATCAGCTTCCTTCGCGTTCTGTTTTCTAAATCACATTTCCATGACCTCAGGTAGGAACAGCCCAGCGGTGGGAATTCGAAGTAATGTGCACAAGTGACTTTCACCGAGCTCTCAGAGTGGCCCTTTGAGCAGTTGCTTTCTGTTCAACAGTGGCTGACCGAAACATCAGCATCGCTATGCTTAAGCGAGCGTCACGTCTTCTCTAATGACACCTGTGTCTTAACCCTTTCAGCGACAGCGGTTACGACAGTGGACAGCTTAGCATGTTATTCGGTTACGGGGTGCATGAAAGGGTTAATTTGCGATGTCCTCCGTTGACCTTACAAGGAAGTAAGTCCATAAACTCTTCAAGTGCACTTTGGGCTAAATGATTTTTTTTTTTTTTGTCTCCTATACTTTTAACAAGGTTAAACAAAGACACTGAGAGACATGCTGTGCTCAGTGAGTTCTCGTTAAGTACATCAAAGTACTTTTTTGGCCGAGGCCAATTCAAGGATTTTTACATTCCACCGTGGACAAAAATATTGGGTCACAACTCATCATTAGGTGACTCTTTATTGTGTTTTGGTACTCGCAGTCACTGACAACCAGCGGAGAAGCCTTGTAACTTTTTAAAGATTTTTAACCAGAATGTTTTTGACTCCTACATTGATAAAGACTCTCAAAGAGAATGACTTAAAGGAAAAAAAGGAACTCACTGACATCGCGAGTGCTCCCACTGGGTTTGACTTCCTGACTCTGTTAGACCACTGAGGCTGGACACCAGTAATTAGCAGATAAAAAAGGGGCTTAGTGGTCATCAACCGGCCAATGGCTAATGACCGATGACTTGCAGTTCAACAACTCTCAATGTTTGCCACTTGGAATTGAAAAGAACCCTTTCCTGCACCCTGTAACCCGATCGCATGATAAGCTGTCCGCTGTAGTAACCGCTGTCCCCGAAAGGGTTAAACTATACCCTCGCTGAGTTTTGTCTCCCGTCGCTATATTTTGGGGACGTTGTCATTACAGCATTCCCCCTTTAAATGACTGTTTCCAACATAGCAACAATATACAAATGTTTAAAAAAAAAAAAAAATTGGTCTGTGGTCAAAGTTGAGCACAGCAAACAAAAGGCCACCGCAGGACATGTCAGTGGGTGTTGTGGTCTAAAAGTATGGAGCGACGAGTGCCAGCCCAGCTACCAAAAGCCACACCCACAAATGCATTGAAGCCATCTCTTGTTTCCTGCCTGGTCAAAGTGCCACCGCAATGAAAGTTAAATTCAAAAAAAAAAACATCGGTGCTGTTGATCTGTGCATTTTTGTAGATGAAGGCCACATCAAACGCTTCAGTTCCGTCCCGCTTTTTACAACCCTTTTGCTCTGAAATCTTTTCGTCTGGGGCCTCAGGTAGAGTTTCCACTACTTCCCGGTTGTCACAGTTACGGCCCATTAAAGTGCCCCCGAACTAGGACTCCCCTCTGATCTTGTTCACGCTGTCACTGACCCACAGCTTGTCTTCATTAGCATGACCCTTGCTAATGACCTCTATCGATTTGGCACCACTGGCTCGTTCGTTTCAAACTCACACTTCTGTCCAAATGCCCGTAAAGTAGGTCAGAACTTAATCCTGACTGTTCGGGCTCAAAACACTCACAGCATGGGATTGAAGTGTTCCGTTTTTTTGTTCTTCTTCTGCAGGGAGCCATTTTTCTGCCCGGCAACAAAGTTTTAGAGCATCCAAGCAGCGGCGATGAAGCAGGAAAATATCTCTTTGAGGTCATTCCAGGTAGGGCAACACCATTTTTATTATTATTATT